GATAAATGCAAAACAGTAAAAGCACCGGCCAAGGTGCATAAGCAAAATAGGCTCGTTAATGTTATAAATATTAATCAAAGCTGAAAGTGTGAAAATGAAATAGATAGACCCATACCATTTATTTATAATGGGTATAATATCTATGCGAGAGGACACTTTGAATTAATACTATCAATAATATCAAATAACTAAATATTAAATTTTAAGTTAGGAAAAAATGATAATAAAATACCTTTGAAATTATATAAATGACATTTTGATCCCTCAAAATGCCATGATTCCCTTGAAATCTTGAGGGACTTTTCTATCATTAAGAATTAAGAAATTAAATATAAATGACCAAATTTTTCTTAATTCAAACTTGCCTAATGTTGTTGAATTCTTGCGATTTAAGAAGAAAATTTAAGAATCTTGAAATAAATTTGTGAATGAATGACAATTAATCTCTGAATAAGGGTAATTTGATTATTACATTAATTTCTTAATAACAGAAAAGTCCTTAAAAACTTCAAGAAAATTATGACATTTTGAAGGACTAAAATGTTATTTATATAATTCAAAATGATTTATTGTCACTTTTCCTTTAAGTTATTGTGCTAAAAATTAGAATTTAAAATTAAAGCCTGTTTTTATTAATTACCTTATGTTGACCATTCAAAATGGTTGAATATATTGATTGATATTATTAACTTATCTTACTCAAATTATAGTATTTGAAAAAATTTCAAATACTTCTAAAAGATATGATTAATTTTGGAAAAATTATTTTTCCAAAGATACACAACTTTGAGAATTTTTTGCATATTTAATTGGCTATTTTTTTCATTGCTAACTTATCTCGGATCAATATTTGAATTTCAAATCAAAATATTTAATAATTAAATAAAATTATCAATTAAAAAAATTACCATTAAATCAATGAACATATTGTTTGATTAGCTAATATAAAAAACACTATTTAAACATATAATATAAATAATATTATTTAATTGATATACTATATGATTAGAATCATTGTCGTTAAATTCTTGTTTTGACACCTAAAAATATATGTATTTATAGTTGTACCTCTTTCTTCTATGTGATTTGACGACAAACTCTAGAAGATTTAAAAAAATATAATGAGTACAAGTAAAATTAAAAAATTATTGTACTATCATGAGTGTAATTGCCTACTTACAAGTCTAACTATTGTATGATGATGGATGATTTTTACCTATTTTTTTTATCTCTCTCTTTACTACATAATATAATTCATATGTATTTATCAACCCCGATAGTCAATTTTTAAATGATTTTCTTTTTGACTTTACCATAAAATAAACCCCATGTTTATGTTTAGTCTCGTCCATTCATGAAAGTAATAAAATAAGAAAAAATTACATCCAAGTCTTACACAATAAAATTAATTATCATAAGATCCATTAACAATTAAGCTAAGGCTGTTGTGTGTCAATGGCCTTAGTTCAATTGTTAATAAATCTTATTTTTCTTATGTAAGACTTTTACACAAATTTTTTCTAAAAAATAATCCTATTCAGTTATTTAATATTAGGGTTAAAAAAAATATATAGTGATTTTCCTTTAATTAGTTTTGCTTATGGATAACACAGGAGGTTATAAATGCAATTGGATAAATTATTATTGTTCTAATTTTTTTTATATTGTAAATGTCACAAGTTGTTTTCTTTATGTAGACCTATATATTTAAGTAGGAAAATTTCAAATGCTACTCTAATTCTTAATTCTTATATGAATTTGTGCAATTAGTTTTAACATAGTAGATTTAAAAATATCATTTTTTTCAACATACTTTAAAATGAAATGCATGGAATTAGATTTAATATAAGAATACTTAATTTTAAATATTTTATTTATAATTATTTTTTATTGACTATTTTATTTAGGATAAACATATATATCACATATCTTATTTATTGACTATTAAAATTTTATTAACACATCTCTCTCCTCACAAGTTTATGAAAATAGAAGGTAATATACCATTTAATCATAATTAGGATAATATTTATACAAAAAAAGTTTGAATTAAAATTAACAATTTTATCTAATCATTATTTATTAATTTCTCTAGCTTAAAATTTAAACCTAAAGTCTTTTTATTATTAAGTACATTATGTTGAAAATCTAAAATAACTGAATATGTTGACCGATATGATTATTAACATATCCCACTCAAATTATCTTATAAAAAAAATATCTTACTCAAATTACAGTTTTTTCTAAATTTTAAATACTTTTAGAAGATATGATTAATTTGGCAAAATCATTTTACCAATGATACATGACTGTGATAATGTTTTGCACCATTAACTTATCTCGTCTACATATTTAAATTTTAAATCTAAATATTTTACTAATCTTAAATCCAACATGAATAATAATTATATAATACAATTATATTTTTGAAGATAATTAGAAACATAATTTTGAAAAATTAAAAATTAATTATATTATATAATAATTAAATCAAAATCAACCCTACATATTAGATTATACTATTTAAATATTTTTCAAAAAAAATAATTAAATTTAAAAATAGCATATTATTAATGTTGAAACCACATAATCATATTATAGAAATAAAAAATTCAAAATCTTAACGAAAATCTAAATTGATTCCCTAATATATTTAGATCTGAATCTTAATATTAATATTTGTAACATTTTAGTCAACTATAGTTATGTAAAATAATATTTTAGATTGATAGAGGATGATATTATTATTATTTTAGGTAATTACAATAAAATCAAAAAAAATTACCTAGGGTAGTTTTTTTTAATTAATCACATAATCCTCAATCCAATTTAAATCAATCACTAAAAAGGCACCCTAAAAAAGAAAATTGAGGAAGAGTATCAAATCTAACCCCGCCTCATTTCATCTAATTAAAAATATTGCCATTTAAATAGAAAATTTTATTTACATTATTTACATATCTTTTAAAATTTAAAATTAAAATTAGAAACTATGTATCTTTTAGCTACTCTATTAATTTATATATATATATATATTTAAAATATTATCTTGAACTAATCCAAAAATTAATAAACAAACTGTCTTCTGAAGTAGAAAATTGCAAAGAAGACACTCAGAACATTGAAAAGTTACTTTGGCTTGAATTTCACCCTTGCCTCATTTCATAAACAACTAAAAATACTGTCATTCAACAATGTGGATGTTTCATTTAATACGCAAGAGGAGGTTAGGTGTCTGTTACCTACTTTGCCTTCAAATTAGTCATTAGATATGACCGGAATTAGCTTCAATTGTTATACAAATGACAACACTAATCCAATGGCTTGGCCTTCTACCTCTCAAGTGACGACTTCAACATGCAATAAAACTATTAACATTCTTACCCTTCTTATTATAGCAAATGGTCTAAGTTTCTTTCAAAATGATTATGTACTG